TGGGACAATTCCTGCATGGAAAGGGCTGTCCAGCCCTGGCACAGCTGCCCAGGGAGGTTTGGGGTCCCCACCTCTGGAGGTGTCCCAGGCAGGCCTGGCTGTGGCACTCAGTGCTCTGGGCTGGGGGACAAGGTGGGCATTGGGAACAGGTTGGACTTGATTATCTTGGAGGACTTTTCAAACCTCAGTGATCTTATGAAAAGGTTTCATAGGAGTCATGTCTCTCCCAGGGTAGGGCTCTGAAGACAGACACTGGGGTTTATTTAATATCTTGGTCTCTCAGCCCTCCTGGTGCCTGCAGGCAGCTCCCCTGGCTCTTAGTGGGGTCCCAGCTCTGTCTGCAGAACCCCTGGACCCCGGCAGTGTCTCCTCTCCGCGAGCTGACACAGCAGACACGCAGGAGTTTGCGGCTTCACTGAGAAGGTTTATTTTTAGCACTTTGCTGGATCAGGGTAAGGGCACTGTACAAACACTTCCTCTCTGTCACTGAGCAGTCAAGGGGAAGCTCCAGTGTCCGTGGAGAGCTCCGTGGCACAGGCACTGCCATGGCTCCCGGCTGGGGACCCACGGGCCAGCGGCTCCCAGTCACTCCAGAAAGGCTTATGAGCATTAGATGTTTGCGTCGATGTTACAACAACCTTTTGACTTAGTGAGCTTGTTCATGGCCTTCAGCGCTTCAAAGCAGCTCATCCTTAGGGTCCTAGAGAGGAAGTGGTACCACACGGAACCACAGAGTCACTGAGGTGGGAAAAGCCCTCCCAGACCATGGAGTCCACCCTGTGCCCGATCCCCACCTTGTCCCCCAGCCCAGAGCACTGAGTGCCACGGCCAGGCCTGCCTTGGACACCTCCAGGGCTGGGGACTTCAGTGCCTGACCACCCTGTCCATAAACAAATTCTCCCTGAGAATGAGAACCTCACTTATCCGTCTGCAAACAAGGTGGAGTATTTTCTGTCTGTTTTCTAGGGCTGGCCCCGATGTTAAATTGTTAAATGTTATTCCCTGAGGGAAATGATCCCACAGGAGACACCCCACCAAGGATGAGGACAACTTTGCTTTTCGTTGCTCCCTCAGGAGACCATCGTTGCAGGGCTGGTAAGTTTGGGAGTGTCCTGGGAGAGGTGGAACAGCTCTCACGTTTCTCCACACCACACCCTCCCTGGGCTCTTCTGCCCTGATCCCAGTGGGGCACCGATCTGCTGTGACTGGGGGAAATTACCCACTTAGGAGGAATGGGGTGGAAAGGGAGAGCCAGCAGGTCCCAGCAGCCTCTTCCTGGGCTTGCCAGGGCCAGCTGAGCGCTGGGAGTTGCAACAGCCAGGGCTGGAGACGTGTCCTGTGTGTGCCCTCTGGATCTACCCCGGGGACGGGAACAGTGAATCACCAGCGAGTTGTGCAACGGGGTTTGAGGTTGGGGAGGTTCACTGGGGAGAGCTGTTACTCACCCCGGTCACTCCAACCCTCTCAGAGCAGGGCCCAGCCCGTGGTGTGTGCGGGGATGGAAGAGCCTTTGTTGTCCTCCTGAACAATCCACTTTGTGTTCTCCAGCTCCTCCCCCAGCCAAGGCAGGCCCAGGGGCTCTGCTGCCGGGCCCAGGCACAGGTCAGGCCACGTGAGGAGATTCTGGGCTCTCCATTCCTGGTTGCTCACCTTGAGGGATGAGCTCCCATGGAGCACAGACCATCCCAGGACACCTCCAACTCCCACCATTTCGGGAATGGGCGGAACCCAAAACTTGTGTAAGGACAAGAGCCCCCCAACAGAGCTGTTAAACAGCCCCAGATGTTCAGGGAGTTGTGTGAGGAGGAACAGAAAAGGGGTTGGAGTTGCTCCACCTGCTGCCACAGGACATTATCCTCTTAGCAGAGGTGCCCACGGTGAGGTCTGAGCTCTGGGCAGGAGCAGGAGCTCCGAACTCCAGACACCCCTCCAGCCACAGCCACGGGGAGGGCCCAGTGCCTGTTTTATTCCACTGTTGTCATCATCGAATGGTGAACTTTTTGAGACACCCTGGAAAGCCCAATGTAAGAAAGAAGCTTTGCCAGAAAGTTGAATTCCTGAGGAGGGGAAGTGACATCGGTGCAAAGAAGGGTCCCTGACCCTGCTCTTTTCCAAACATGGTGTTGGTTCTCACCAGACTTCCAGCCCACATCCTGCCTCCAGCTGATCCTCACGGCCACGTGGAGCAGCTCCTGGCAAGGCCATTTGGGCAGTGGCAGGAGAGGACGGTGTTTGGAGCAGCTCCTGGCTGGGTCAGGCTCTCCCCGCCTTGGATCTCACCTCGCTGCCTCTCCCAGGCAGGTGGACAGACAGAGCACGAGAGGAACAAGAAA